GAGACCAGTTCCTTTTGCCTTTCTGACCTCTTTCTTCCATGCCCTGAGACTACCTCCAGTATTGCATGGCCAAAGTCATATGAGGGTGCCATCTGGGACCAAGCGATATGATCCGGACTGTGTTTGGTGATATCTCAGCCCTGCACCAATACCAAAGAGAAACCCTTTTTCTTTTTTTAATCCTGAATATACAATGGAATGAAATGTAAAATTTATATTTGTCGTTTCACCTATTTTTTCAGTTAATCTATTCCCTTGAATGCCTGTAAATAAAATAGATTCGTCATAAAATTTGTTGGTTGAAAAGTTTGCTTGGTACTTAACGCTATATTTATTATAAAAAACTTCATCTAATGAAATTCCTAAACCGACGCCACCTAAATTAATACCTGTAGAATCATTATACCAATATCTATGTATTCCTTTTAATGGACTATTTATTGGTATTGCTTCATTAATATTGAGATGCACATGCACAACTTGCGCACTTATTTCAGTAGTTACAAATAATGACATTAAAAAATAGAAAAATAGCTTCATTCTATTGCTTTTATAAATTTTTGTGAATACATCTGACCATTAACTGATAGATTTGCATTGTAAAAACCTAATGGGCGATTACTTAAATCAAAAAATATACTTGTTGGTGTTTGAATATTACTAAATATTTCTAATACTAATGAGTCTTTACCATCTGTAACATTAAACTCAATCGGTGTGCCTACAGCCCATTTATCTTCAACAACAGACAATTGAAAATCAGTTGATCCAGGATTTGGGGAAATCTGAAAGTAAGAAAAAGCATTATTTTGATTTTCCTTTTCGCAAGACATAAAAACCAAACATCCTAAAAAAAGTAGAAAACTTTTTATTTTTTGCATAAAGTGATAATTTTAATATCTGAATGACGAAAAAAATCAAAAATATATTGTCAAAAAAAAGGAATTAACATTTACCTCTCAGAATTACCTAAGAATTTTTATTTATCCACACCATAATTGTACCTTTGCGGTCAAATCTTAATAAATATACTATATGTACAGAAGTCATAATTGCGGCGAGTTGAGAATATCTGATGTGGGAAGTAAAGTCACGATCTCTGGTTGGGTCCAAAAAGGAAGAGATCTAGGTGGACTCACTTTTGCTGATGTGAGAGATAGATATGGCGTGACACAGCTGGTATTTAACATGGACGAAAACGCAGATTTGTGTACAAAAGCCCGTAAACTTGGTAGAGAATTCGTCATTCAAGCTACGGGAATAGTTAGAGAAAGATCATCCAAAAATGCAAACAGAAGTACTGGAGATATCGAGATAGAAGTCCTAGAACTGAACATTCTGAATGAATCAAAAGTACCACCATTCAGCATCGAAGACGAAACAGATGGTGGCGATGATCTCCGTATGAAATATAGATACTTGGATATCCGACGAACACCCGTTCAGAATAATATCATCTTTAGGTCCAAACTGGCACTTGAGACTAGAAAATACTTAGATTCACAAGGATTCATAGAAGTAGAAACACCCTTTCTGATCAAAAGTACACCAGAAGGAGCAAGAGACTTTGTAGTGCCGAGCCGACTCAACCAAGGTCAATTCTACGCATTGCCTCAATCACCACAGACTTTCAAACAAATATTGATGGTAGCTGGTATTGATAAGTACTTTCAGATTGTGAAGTGTTTTAGAGATGAAGACCTTAGAGCAGATAGACAACCAGAATTTACACAGATAGACTGTGAGATGTCATTTGTCCATATAGAAGATATTCTCAATACATTTGAAGGATTAGCAAGACACTTGTTTTTACACACGCTTGGACTAGAATTGGGAGATTTCCCACGTATGTCTTATGATGATGCCATGCAAAAGTATGGTTCAGATAAGCCAGACCTTCGTTTTGATATGTCATTTGTGGAGATGAATAGCTTTGTAAAAGGCAAGGGTTTCAGCATCTTTGATGAAGCAGAAATGGTCGTTGGTATCTGTGCTAAAGGTATCGCCGAAAAATATTCCAACAAAGACCTAAAAGACCTCACAGAATGGCTTCAAAGACCACAAATAGGTGCCAAAGGACTTGTTTATGTAAAATATCAGGAAGATGGGAGCATCAAATCTACCGTTGGTAAGTTTTATTCAGATGAAGACTTACAACAATGGGCAGAGCATTTTGGTGCTGAAAAAGGAGACATCATTTTTGTACTAAGTGGCGAAACCGAAAAGACAAGAAAACAATTGAGCGAGTTACGTTTGGAATTGGCCAAAAAACTTGACCTCATCAAACCTGGAGATTTCAAACCTTTATGGGTACTAGACTTCCCGCTACTAGAATGGGATGAACATGCCAATAGATTTCACGCAATGCATCATCCATTCACCTCTCCTAAAAAAGAAGATATCTCTCGTATGTTGAACGGTGACCATGAAACCATGAAGTCTTTAAAAGCTGATGCGTATGACCTAGTCATCAATGGT